TCATCATCAAACTGGTGTACATATACATAGATAATCCTACCACGCGAAGTGAGGATCATCATCGAATTGATGTACATATACATAGATAATCCTACCACGCGAAGTGGGGATCATCATCGGATTGATGTACATATATAGATAATCCTACCACGCGAAGTGGGGATCATCATCAAACTGGTGTACATATACATAGATAATCCTACCACGCGAAGTGGGGATCATCATCGAATTAATGTACATATATAGATAAGCATACCACGCGAAGTGGGGATCATCATCAAACTGGTGTACATATACATAGATAATCCTACCACGCGAAGTGGGGATCATCATCAAACTGGTGTACATATACATAGATAATCCTACCACGCGAAGTGGGGATCATCATCAAACTGGTGTACATATACATAGATAATCCTACCACGCGAAGTGGGGATCATCATCGAATTAATGTACATATATAGATAAGCATACCACGCCTGCATCGTGAGGAGTCGAAATCGTCCTCTGGCAACTCCTAATATCTAAAAACGACCAAGTTGAGATGGGAAGGCCGATGACGATAAACCTACTCCACCTCCACCAGCTGCCTGTCTTCCCCCAGAATAGATGTGCGAACATCTGGATGAAATAGGATCTGGGTATACAACGTGAATTTCCCCAAACACACCATTGCTATCGTCGATCATATACGCCACAGTTAGCACCTGCTTGGCCTTGGCATCATCAGAGGCATAGCCCGGATGCAGATACACCTTCCTACTGGGAGTTTTCAAGTTCTTAGCAACTTTAATGATCTCTTTAAGTCTATACCAACAACATTAGTTCAAACAATGGTCTCGGTACCGATCCCACCTTGGAAATCCCAGAGTGACATTGTTGTTACAAACACCGGCGAGATGGAAAGTGTTCAAAGTCATCTGGGTGGCGGGCTCTCCAATACTCTGCGCCGCGATGGTGCCAACACCCTCCTCAGCAGCAACTAGGGCCTTCTCGAATCTTTGCTCCACCTGATCATAAGGTCACCTCCCAGTTCCTCCCTACTAACATCACCTCTCCCAACAGCCAATCGACTGCCCTCTGCCCGAGTCTATTCCTTTCCAAATAGCTTTCTGGACGCTAGATG